ATAAAAATATTGCGCCAAACGTGGTTTTTCTTCATCTCCATGGAGATGCATTACAGGATAAAACTCACTCACGTACTCCAACAAAATCACATACCATCATATATCTAAAAACTTGCACAACGGATTTTTTTTAAAATGTAATCTTAGCTAAAAGTTCATCCCACCGTTGGGTTTAATTTCCAACCCACGAACACGGGGAAATTGGTGTGAAGGATCCCAAAATCTAACTTGCTCTTAATACCATGATAAATTTGGGGGAAAGAGTTTACAGAATGGCTTGATTATTATTCATCAATAGGTTGAGTATTTATAAAAAAAAAACCTAAAATCATAAGATAGGAAACAATATTTGTAAAAGATATAATACCATAACCATAAATCTTACAGACATTTTCTCTAAATAATATCTTAACATAAATAATCCTAAATATATTATTCTTCTAATTATATCTACGGAAAATATATATCACACATATTTTCCGATATATCATATCTCTAACACCTCTTCTTTCTTTTTCTCTCTTATTTTTTTTTCTTTTTTGCCTTGATCTCGTAGGAAATGAAACCGAGTATCAATATGCTTGCTTCTCCCATGTTGTACTGGATTTTTGGCAAGTTTTATTGCTGATATGTTATCCACATAGATCATAGTAGATCCTTCTTGAACATGTCCAAGTTCTTTCGATAAATTCTTAAACCATAATGCTTCACATATTGCAAATGAAGATATTATTTATTTTGCTTCACACCTTGGGAAAGCAATTGCTGGTTACTTTTTTGAACTCGATTAAAAGCAATTGAACCATGTTAAAACGTATCCTGTTGTACTTTTTTAGAATAAATAAATAATGTTGCTCCATCTCCATAAGAATAGAACATTTCATAATCTAAGGTATCTTGGATATAACTTACTATTCTCTTTACAATGCACGAATGAGATTCCTTAGGTGTTTCCATATATCTACTAACAAGCTTGATACCATATATAATAGGTGATGGTTAAATATCTTAGATTCCCAACAAGACTCTTGTAAGTTAGATTAATGAATTTCCCTTCTATTTTTGTCAACTTTAACATTGTTGCAATAGAAGTGTTCATAGGTTTGCATGAATCCATTTTACATTTTTCAAGAATCTTCTTTACATTCCATTTTCACATTTCTTCACCTCTATGCCAAGAAAGAAGTTTATTAAACCACAATATGTCATCTCAATTATTTAAACATTGCTACCTTGAAATCATCAAACATAGTTTGGGTGTTCTTAATGAATAGTAGATTGTCAACATATAAGCTTATTATAAGAACATCATCACCATTCTTCTTTACATACATAACATGTTTGTATGGACACTTGATAAAACCATTTTTTTATTTCGTATCCATCAATATGTGTATTCCAACCTCATGGGGCTTGCATTAAACCATAAAGTGACTTTTTTAAATGGAGCACTTTACCTTCTCCCTTGATCATAAAACCTTTTGGTTGTTCAATGTAAACTTGTTCTAAAATGCCATTTAAAAATATCGACTCAACACTAGGTTGACATATCTTCAATTTATGTTGTGCGGCAAGTGAGATCATCATTCTCATAATGTTTAAACGAGCTACATGAGCAAATACTTCATCATAATCAACACCATGTACCTCTTTTGATCTTTTTTTGCACCTATAGATTTATGGCCCTTTCGCAATGTAACCTACTCCCATGCATCATTTTTCTCTATTTAGCTCTTTCGTAGCAGATATCCATTTTACTTCTCCAACAACTTCTTAAAAATTGATGGGTTCATGGTCTATATATACATAAAATAAATCAACGCCTTCAACTTTAGCTGTCTTTTCATAGATGTCATTTAGGCTACTCATCTTAATATGTGTTTTCGATGATGACACTTTTCCAATGATGGTGATGATGATGCTTTATTGTTATTTCTAGGAATTTTTGGATGTGTTTTTTTCAGAACTCATCCTAGAAATATAAGTATGTTCTTCGAACACAAATTTTATTTTCCTTTTTTCCTTTCTTAATTATCCCATTTCCAAGATTCTCCTTCACTAATGATTGCATCTCTACTTTCAATCAACTTTCCAGTGATTGGATTGTATAACTTATAAGCTTTTGATTGATTGTGAACTATATCAAATAAAGATACATTTTTCACCTCAATCATCTAAGTTTTTCCTTTTTGCGTCAGGTATTTGGGCATATGCAATGCACCCAAACACTCGAAAATGTTTAACATTTGGCTTCTCACTACTCCATGCTTCTTGTGAAGTCATATTCTTTACACTTTATAGGACAATCATTTAGTATACAGGTTGTCCATGTTGGAAATCCTTTTTCTTATAAAATGCTTTTGTGTCATGTCCAAAACTGTTCGATTCTCCCATTAAGTAGTTCCATTATGTTGTGGTGTATAGGGGGCTGTATATTGTTGTCTAATTCCTGTAAATTTATTTTAAAAAATTAATATATTTGATGTATATTCACCCCTTGATCAGATTCAACTAATGTATCAAACGCAACTTTAGCATATGCACCCATAATTTTCTACTATAATCATCAATGTATATAATAAAGTAGCAATTATACGGGCTCCAATGATCCATGTGTACAATTCCAATGGTTCTTTCGCTCTCGATGATAATCCCTTAGTCTTGCTTGTTTTCCATCGTACATATTTTTCAAACTTGTTTAAGATCTTCAAAGTACCCTTGCACCATGTTCTTTGACTGTAATAATTTTAGGCCTTTGAAATGCAAATGCCCCAAACGTTTATGTCATTTCCATGACTCATTCTCTATGACAATATGAAAGCACTTTTGTACTTTAGTGTTAAGTTGTAGAGGAAACATGCGATTCTTCTCTACTTTTTATTGAACAGTAATTCTTCCAATGTTATCTTTAAGTTGATGATTATTACTCTCCAAATGAATGATATATCCTTTTTTTCAAAAGTTACCCGACGCTAAAAGTTACTTTCATATTAGGCACGTAATAAACATCATAAATTAATTCTTCATTTCCATGCTTGAGAAAATTTTGAATTTTCCCTTTTTCTTCAACCTATAGTTTGGACGTATCTCCCAAACTTACATTACCTTTGATTTTCTGAAGATCAATAAATAATTCTCTTCTTCCGCACATGTGGTTAATCGCTTCAGAATCGAAAAACCACGTGTTGTTGATTAATAACTTCTTCATGGGCTAGCAACAATGTCAGACTTTCCTAATCGTTTCTTGAATCTTCAACAAACTTCAATCGATTTCCTTGATCATTTTGTTTTTCTGCTCAGATGCGATGTCCATTTTTTTACAATTAAATCGTGGAATGACTTTTGTCTTATTACGTTCATTAAAACTGATTCCTCTTCTGTTTGACCCTCTTCCATGGCCAAAATATCTCTCATTACTTTGGTGGGTAGTTACCACAACCTGTACCTTGTCCATGAAAACCGCCTCGTTGGTTTACACCTTTTTGTTCATATGAAAACTTTGATTCAAAAGCTTGCTCCATAACACCTGGTTCATCATTCTTCAGACTTCTTTATTCATGCACTAGAAGGGATTCTATAAGTTCTATTGATAATGTGTTTTGATTCTTCAGTTGCATGTAATACATGATTAAATATTTTACTGGATGATCTAAGTACTTTTCAACGATCCTTGTGTCTTCGGTCTTTTCTCCATTTAATTTCTGCTGGTTAGCATTTGTAGGTAGGCAAGAAAAATAGTCATTGTGATTTTCTTAAACTCACCTCGTAGGCTTGTGAATGAATTTTTCGAACTCTCTCAACTCCTTTAATATAATTGCAAGATTGTCCCTAGCTTACTTGCTGGTTGCATTGGAGATCTTTACATGTGTTTCGCGATCTACACCTGCGTAAATCAAAAGTAATGCCCTTTGATCTCCTTTATTATATTCTTACAAATCATCTTTCTTTTCTTGAGTTAATGCCAATTTTGCCTCATATGATGGTTTTTCAAACCCATCGTTTTCACAAATTTTGGAACTAAATAGTGCTTTCGTTTTAATGCACCAATCTTCATAATTGGTCTTTGATAATTGGGGCACTTGTGGCTGAATAAAGTTAGTAGACATTTTTGTTGAGAAAATAACGTGGCTGTGATACCAAATGTAGGAGTTACAATTTACAAATTGGTAACTTAGGTAATTAATTATTCTCCTGGAAGTCTGATTATTAGTGAAATGGTAACGTCTATTGTTTGCTCTAAATTTAGGTAATACTAAATACAATATAATAACTAGTGAAAACCGTTGTATAGTTTATGTGTTATTATCAAGGAGAAAGAAACATGGGTTACAATCCCAAATCACAAAAGTGCACTTTTATATATTTTTTCACAAATAACTTTCTAATCCTTATATCTCCTTTCTTTTTTTTTTATCCCTCTCTTATTCTTCTTTTTCTTCTGCAGTATAAATTGAAAACAATACATTGCAAATATGTTATCGAATTTGCTAAATTTGATGACGAAAATTTTTCTCATTTCCAACCTCTCACTAAACGTTAGTTAAAGTAAACTAATTTTAGTGTTTTCTAAATTAATGTTTGGTGACTTTCAACACATTTGTGGGTGGTTATCTGAAATAAAATGTATCCATCTTTGAACAATAAGAAGGTGGTTGTGTATTCATTATAAATTCAACTATAACTTGTGATTTAGGTGGTTTGCTGAAGTGTGCAACTTCTTAGGGTAGTCCACTTAAGAAATTTCTGCAACATGATGTCTTAGAATATTTTTCAAAGACCACCTAACACGAATGAACTCCTATAGTAAGACTTTGAAACTTGCTATTAGCGAAATATTTCAGCATAGTGGTTTAAAATGGCAAAATGTATATCCTTTACATGGACTAAATTAGTCATCAAGATAATATGCAGTTATTAATGTCTTTAACAAATTGTTTTATTCTTGGTGTTTTCATTTAAAGCATTTGTAGATTGTTTAATTATACATTTTCTTGATACAGATCTGCAGAGTTAGGAGAGGAGCTTAGGCATTTGCTAAATAAGCTTCAACAGCAGTACCCTAACTTCATTGTAAAAGTGTGTGGAAAAGGTCTTTTTAACGCAGTAGAACTCAATAGCAAAGCTCTGTTCCCTGCATCAGCTTATGATATATGCCTTAAATTGAAGGAGAGAGGTGTTCTTGCTAAGCCTACCCACAACACAATCATAAGATTAACTCCTCCACTCTCAATAAGGTAATTATATTTTTCCAACAATATGGATACGAAGAATTTATATGGTTTAAAGTTTGGGTATTCTTTGTCTTTTGTAAAGCTGACATAGAAGTCAACTTTTCTCGAAAATGGGCCAATGGGATGGTTCCTTTCTTTGGTTTAGAGTTCCCTGATTATTGGTTATGTTCATTTGTGATCTAATTATACTTCATATGATTATAATTTGATGCAAATGTGCATTCTTGCAATTCTCTTCTTCTCGAATTTTTTATATTGCATTAGAGCATTTCCAATGCTAAGCTAATTGTTAAATTAGCTTGCCATGCCTCGTAAGATTTCTAACTTAACTCTTTTGTAGCTAGTTTGTGTCCCAATGGTTAGCTATTTAAAGTAGTTAATAGAAGGAAATTTCATTTATGTACCAGTTCCTCATCTTTTGGCGATTTTTCAAGCAATTAATTTGCCCAAGCGAATTTTAAGTAGAGTCTTTTGAAATTTTAGTTAGAGCAAATTTTGAAATTAGTTAGCTATTTAACAAGTCCCTAGCTATAAACCATTATTGATGCTCATAGTGGTCTAATATGTGAACTCTAATCTATCTTACTTGGACACGGGTACCCATGATGGGTACGGATACATATACAGGTCCGACTTGGCTATCTTGTGAAAAATTTCATGAATTTGAACTAAAATTAAAGTGTCCAAGTGTCATACCCATAATTGTCTAGCACGGGTACTAGAGCACGAGTACTTTAGATGAAATGTAGAGTCTTAGTAAGATAGAATCTAATTGTAAACTAGAATGTAGTGTTTGTGAAATCATAATCAAGGAATCCCTATTTGCTTAAAACTATAATCAATTCTATTGTTTCATTTTTTATTTCCATCTTTTCCTCCTAGCTAAGCATTTCTCGTTTATTTTTTTTTTTTTTTTTTTTTTTTTTAATTTTGGAAATTCAATATAATGGCCTCATGTTATTGCAAATTCCTCTTGGTGGATATAATTTGGCCCTTTTCTCAAGTGACTAGTTTGCATGTTTAACTAGAGCCCGCCAATTGCCATTAAGATGGCTAACTTAGGCTTAAATGATTAATCTTCGCTCTAACAACCACCAACCACGTTGCCCTCTATTTAGATCCACCACCCCATCCACCAGCTACATTGGATGGCCGTACCAGCAGCCTAACCACTAAACCACCCTTCAAGGAAGGATAGAGAATATAGATGGGAATGAAGGTCAAGGAGGCTTTCATTTTGGTGGGTTAGGTGGTATTTTTCTGTGTCATTGGTATTTTAAATGATGGGTGATGGTTTCAAAGGTTGGGAAAAGGGTTTGGGGGGTGGGGGAGGGATGTTTTTTAGTGGATGTGAGGTTTTTTGTGGTTAGGTGGTGGATTTTGGTGGGTGGATAGCGGTTTTTGCCCTTTTGTTGGGTCGGGTTCGGCTAGTCATGGCAGGGTTCAGGTTGGTGTATGGTCGTGGGGAGATGAGGGGTTGGCTGAATCAAATAGAAGGATAAATTAGTAGATTAAACTATCTAAGATAAAGGATAAATTAGTATATATATATATATATGTATATATATAGAATCGTCATTGGCTTGAAGGCAGTTCTATATGTATAATTGTGCTTATTACAAACTGCTTTCTAATACCTTGTTTCCTTGTACTGTTATTTAATTATGCATTAGTCATTTTGGTCTTTTTTCTTTGAGTCTATCAATTATCTTGCTATGCTCTTTCCTTTTCCGACGGTTCCTTATGACGATATATGTCAGCCAACCCTAAATCATTTTGGAATTAAGGCTTGTTATTGTTGTTGGTGGTGGTGTTGTCGTATTTTCACACCTTTTCATTCTTATATACTTCATAGTGACACAAAAGATGTACTATTTCTGTTTTAAACATCAAACTTTATAAACTTCAACCACGATTTACAATATCATATTCTCCTTGTTCCTTTATTTTTGCCTCATTGTCATTTTTGGGTTTAACTTTGAAAATTTTGTCCATATATTACTGTTAATTTTTAAGAGATAATAGAGTCATGTGGGATTTTATTAAAGAATCGTCTAATTGTATATATTAATATTGCGTTTTTATTATTTTTACGTGTATGAAAATGAAGATATATGCGTTTTAAGATGAGCCTTATAGACTGTGAAAAGTCAAATGGTGCAAAAAATAGGGACAGAGGGAGTACAGGAAAATATATATTCAAATGAGATCTTGTTGGAAACATCTAATATTTATTTTAAAAATATTAACTTTTTATGATTATAATCAACGCATAATTAAAGATAATTGTTGTCAAACTAGAGCATAGTGACAGGGTAAAGTCGTATCCCCTAATCAAAAATAATTACCTAAATCACTAACTACAGTAGATAGGGAAGTAGGGTCGAACTCCACAGGGAAACAGGTCTTTTTAATTCTAATTAATTATTATACTCTAAATTATCTAAGTAACCAATATTTTTGGGTAAGAATTCTATACTACGAAGAATAAGTTTAGGGAGAAAAGAACCAATAATAAGGAAACCTAGGGTCACAGGTTCACTAATAAATAATATTCCGTGATAGAACGAAGTAATTAATAATTAACAATGCATAGATAACATGATTAACAGGCTCTCGCAATTTATTACTCAACATAGATCTAACAGGCTCTCGCAATTTACTAGACCTAAGTTCCTATTAAAAATAGCCTTTAATATTAAATCAACATCTGCTCGATTCATCAATTTAATATTGCTAAACATTCACAATCAAATTACATCTGCTCGATTCATAATCTAATTGCGAAGAATTAAAACAATTCAATAGGAAATTATCATGCAATATCAAAAATCAATAATAATAAACTATCCCTTCATATTAATTATGGATCCCCATAAACCCTAGAATTAAACTACTCACTAATCATCATAACTAAACCAATCAAATAAATAATTAAAAGCATAATCAAGAAAAAAATTAAAATAGCTGAAATTAAAAAGGGAAGAAATTGTACCAAAGTAAATCTGGAATTAATGAAGGAATTAAGAACAAAAGTTTAGAGAGAATTTAAGAGAGAGAAAAATACTAAGTAGAGAGAGAAAGTCTAAGAGAAAGAGGTAAGTAATTATTCCGTACAAAAACGTATATAAACTTCTCCTAAAACAAGAATTAAAACAAAACTTAATCAGGTCCTAAGAAAACACGCGCCCGAACGGGCGAAGGGCCGCCCGATCGGGCCCGCCTTTTTTACTATGCTCCTACTGATGTGCCGCGCCCGATCGAGCCTAGCTCACCCGATCGGGCGCGCCTCCTCCTTGAGGGCACTAATGCACGCAGCCGCCCGATCGGGCGTATGCTTGCCCGATCGGGCCCGATCTTCATCTTCGAGGCTTGAACTTCGATTGGGCTAGATTTCTCAGCCCAATCCATATTTCCTCTCGGGTCTCGAATACATGGTCCAAATGCCTCGTGATCCAAATTACCGAGCCCTTAGTCACCGGCTCTCACCGATCTTGGGCTCCAAAAGTGGTTGTGTCCTTCTAGCTTCCGTAGTCGATCCAATAAGGCCCGGGAAAATTCTCCAAGAGTGCAATTACCTGTAAAATACAACTAAAACTACGAAAACACTTGAACACACAAATTAGTAATAAAAGTGGCCCGAAAGAGCCAAAAACACTACTAATAATGACCACGGGACGGGGATAAAACACTATATAGACTAGACATATCACATAGCCTAGATAAAAAATAAATAAATAAATAAAAATATTCTTGAGACTATTTTTGGAAATAGCAGCTTAAAATAGAATAGAAGAAGCCTAAAAGAAATGGCCATACATATTTTTGCTATGCTCGTTTGGCAATTATCAATTGAAAGAAAGGAGCAAGTCATTTCTGACATGTGGCAGTTAAAGATATCTATAACCTTGGTGAGATTTTAGAATGCACCTATGATTTGCTACTTTGCTGCAGCCTTTGGGATTGTGTGCTCCAAGACCATCATCACTCATGGTATAAAAATTTATACTATCCCTCTCTCTCTACCACTTTCTCACTCCTCCACATCATTTATACCACAATACAATATACTTTCTCCAAAAAGCATCTCACCCATGGTATAAAAAAAGGTTTACCACCACACTTTCTCTCTCCTATTTGTATTAATAATACACCAAATTTAATTATAATTATATTTCATTTTATTATTGGAAATAACTAATTAATGTTTGTAAAGTTAAATTAAATAAAATAAGCATTTTATGTATTAAAAAGTGAATTCGAAAAAATATATAAAATTATATCAATATGGGTGTCTATGTGTAGCTCTTGAAAAATTATGAACAATGGTAATTTTTTCATAATTTTTTACTTTATAATTTTTTCTTAAAATGCAATTGAAAAAAAAAAAAGATACATGATAACCAGGCCACATGGCGTGACATGGTTGGTTCATGTTTTACGGGGACCAAAGCAATTGTTTATCATGGGATGGTATGTACCATCAAATGGTATAGTTTTACCACCAATATAGTAAAAAATTGCATATTTTTTAGGAAAAATTCACATTTACTACCAGCAAAAGCACCATGTATCGGATTTACTACCTGTTTAAAAAAATATTTTATATTACTACCACTATAATTCCCTAACTGTAGAAATAACTACCAGTGACTAACTCCGTTACTGTTTCTGTTTGAGGGGCCCACAACAATGGCAGCCACCCCTCCACCCCTCCACAACAACGGCAGCCACCCCTTCGTTCAACCACCTTGCAGCCCCTCCCCTCAACTGCCACCCCCTCCCCCCTGCCGGCGCCGGCGCGACCCCACCACATCCCCCTCCAGCGCGCGAACCCCACTCCCTCCCTTTCCCCCACCTACGCAGACAACCCCCCCTCCCTTTTCCCGTTGTTGCTGCCCCGACCCCCACCCCGTACCGGAAACCACTGCCTTTCCCTTTCCCTTTCCCCCACAGGAAATCGCCCCCCTCCCTATTCCCCACACCGAAAATCGCCCCCCTCCCTACTTCTAAACCACCAGCGCCAAACCACCCTAGACGAGGGTTTCGATTTCGGTGGTTTGGGGCTGGTGGTTTAGGATTTCGAATTCGATTTCGATTTTGAATTTTAGGGTTTCGATTGGCTGGTGGTTTGGGGCTGGTGGTCGGGGCAACAAGAAGGAGATTGGGGTTCGTTGGCTAGGTAGGGGTGGGGGGAAGGTCGGGGCGCCGCCGATGAAGAATTTGGTGGAGTTTCGCGGCGGAGGTGGTTTAGCAGTGGGTCGGTGCACCGACCACGAGGTTAGGGGTGGTTAGCAGGTGGGGAAATGGAGGAGGTGGGGTTCGCTGGTTTCGAGGAAACATTTGGCCGCCAGCAAGGGGAGGGGGGAGGGTGGCTGACGCTGGGAAGGGGAGGGGAGTTGTTTGAGAATTTTTTTTTAAAAAAAAGTTTTTTTTTATATAATTTAAATTATTATTTAATGAAATATGGGGCCCACTTAACAAAATCTTAACGGAATCTGTTAAGTGGTAGCAGTATATACAGTTAGGGAATTTATGTGGTTGTAATGTGACACGGGGTGTTTTCGCTGGTAGTAAATGTCAATTTTTCCTATTTTTTATGAGTTTTTATACCGTGGTATAAAATTATACCACGAGTGTTGATGCTCTAATAGTTTGGTTGCTAGACTATTTCAACTAATTATCTGATGTGCTCAATTGTTTATACACTTTACATTGGAAATTTGTTTAGCCTTCCATTTAGACTATTGTTATAGATTTTTGTATTTTCATCTTGTATATTGTAATAGAAAATGTATATTCATCTTTTATTTTGTTATACTACGTAGTTATGCATACCCTGCTATCTTAGCTCTCTTTTTTGCCTAGGGTTGCTATCCTTGTTTGGTACATGTTTATCTGCATGTTTTTTTCCCAATATATTGGTATTGTCAGGCTGTTGCCTAATAAACAATTTACACATGCAGCATGGATGAGCTTAAACTTGGAACCAAGGCACTGTCTGAAGTGTTTGAGTTTGATCTACCTAAGATGCAAAAGGAAAAGCCTGAACATGTTACTTCAATGGAAACTGATGTATGTGATCGTTGTGGTAGAAACCTGTAAGCCCTAGAATGAATATACTCATTCACCAGGGTTTGCGCATCAACTTCTGTGTCGCTATATATGAAGTTAGGTCCTTTAATATTTTCCGAATCCATGTGCTTTCACCTGAAAAATTCATTTGATTTTAGTTATGATAATATCTTTCAGGTGTTGGTCATAATTGTGCTATGTACATAACTTTCAGTTGTGCAGTGAAACCTTGATTTATCTTGGAAAACATTCTTATTGCAAACAGTTGCTGAAGACGTGAGAAATCATTAATAGGTTTCGTTGTGGTAACTCTAAATGTTCCTAGATTTTGTTCTGGTGTGGTGAAAATTTTGCATGTGTTATTGTGGGTTGTATTTTGTATCTGCAGGCGCTTCAAGGGTGGCTTGTGCCTGATTGAGCGTAAATAATATTTCATCTTGGTGTTGTAGTGGATCGTATATTGTGATCTTTTCTTATTCAACTGCTATCTTGCTGTTTGGGGAGTACCTGAAAGTTAAAGGTGACATCCATTTTGGGGTTGGGGCGGGAGTGTGTGACAGCCGCCCTTCCTGATTTTAGGAGAAAAGTCAGAAAATCAGGAAACAAAGAAGGGTTAACCATGAGGTTTCTTAGTGCCGAATAATTTAAGCAGAAGGTGATGAAAAGCTATAGAGAGGACCATTTGGAGAAGTGTCTTTTGTTTTAAGGATTTGATTCTTGAATTAAATTTAAGGTGTAGAATTAATGTAAGTATAATTTGTCTGGTTTTATATGATGATTTCAAAGGGAATCATAAAAATAACATTAAATTGCGGAAGGTATTTTATCAATGTTGAATTGCCTCCCCCAGTGGAAGGAATAGCACTATACAAGCTGAGTTACGAAGGAAAGTGACTAACCTATTCAATTTCAAGGTCCCTAAATCGACTAGCGTCATGAACCTTGGACTTTGGCAAACTTTTGCTAATTTGCCGCTTAGTAAAGAGTAGTATGGTCCCCGTCAAAAAAAAAATAGTATGGTCTTTTTGCTATTCCAAAGCCTAGGTTCCATGACAGCATAATTTGCTCTTCCTTGTGTCCTGCTACATTTCCTCTACAAATCTGCGAGTGACCACTCAAATGTGTATAGATACAACTTTCTTTTACAGGTTCTGTTTTGGAGGCAACTGCCAATACCATGTCTAAAGGAATATTGAAGTTTACATCCCTTTGAGAAAGAAAAATCACTCAAATTTTTGTTCTGCTAGTTGTTTCATAAGTAAGCTAGTTTAAACCCTCCTGAGTTTACACACATCTATAAACACAAGAAGATGTCGGTATCGATGTCGGTGGAGACTAAGATGGTGCTGGTGTCGGAAATAATGGTGTTGGTATGGGCAACGGTGGGTATATTGATAGGAGAAGGAAAACAAAATTGAAGGTCTGTGGGGGTTGAAGGAAGAAGGACTAAGTAAAAGAAGGATGAAGGAGCTAACTTTCGCTAACTTCAGCCTTCAAACCTAATCACAAAAGTAGCCTCACTTGCTAATACAAATGACTATTTGGTCGCTTGAGAAACCACGATCAGCTCCAATTGATTCAATTGCATATAGTGACAATTTTGTAGGCTCTATCGAATTTGTAATATTTTAAGGATCTTGCTAACGAACGCGTCCAGGGCATTAGATAATCCTTTTGGTTTCTAAAATGACATTAATTTGGAAATATATGTCAAAATCACGTAATGATCGGTTACTGAATGTCACAAATTCTTAAATGAATCTAGTTCATATTAATTCATTGTGGACCACTAGTATTAGAGAAAATATGGGTGTTTTATTAATTAAAAAAAAAAGGTCACTATAATAAAAACAAGATCACTATGTTGAAATAAAAGTCATTTTGGTAATAAATAGGTTATATAAGAGGTTAATTTTTTTAATGAAATATTTTATATACTGGTTAATATGAATCATAAAGGTCACTATGTTCAAATTAGGGTCATAACATCGTATTCAAATTCACAATAATATTAAACGTATACAAGTTTTAATAAAGGTTACCATGTTAAAAATAAGGGTCACTATGTTTAATATAATGTCAATTGCGTGTGTATAAATCCCGGGTCCACAATAATATTATTGTGGATCAGGTCCACGCAAGTCTTTTTGAATATTAATAGCTCTTGAAATCAACAGTTTAATATTTTATATTGAATATTCAATAAATGTAGGGAATATTTCAAGCATTACCCCAAACTTAAACCCCACTATGATCATACACTTAAGCACGGTGGCGTCCAAAGGGAAGAAAGCTAGAGCAAAAGAGTCGTCAATCAACAAGTTTTAGGAACCTGTAAACCGTTCACATGGTGAAGGTTACACCCCTTAAAGATCCATGAGATTGTTAACTCCAATAGGTCTGGAACCATGATTGGAAGTTCGGGGATGAAGGTACAAATCCAACCTAAAAGAGATTGAATCTGCCCTAATAATAGGCCTCTACTTTATTCTTCTCGTATTCATGTGCGCTTTCTGACTAACATGCAATTAATAGGTTTACCTTAAACCTGTTTAATCTATGTTGGTTGAATATTAAATGCACAAACAAAACTATTATTGGTGATCACTTGAATTATAATCAAATTAACCCAAACAAGATTATTAATTATCTTATTAAGCGTGATTACAAGTACTAATTCCCTTTAACATGCATAAAAGGTGTGATCAAGCAATAACAATAAATATCAAGCAACATAATCATCATAAATTATAACAATTATAATCATAATTAAAATAACTTTAATCATCATCAAAATAATAATAATCACGATTATCATAACCATGTTTATGTTAATAATAAAGCATAATATTAATAGCAAGATCCTAGGTATGATACTAACAAGATTAATAACAAACCCTAACATGTCACTAAACATTAAAAATCAAAGTTTTAGTCTAACATGATACTAACATGATATTAAGAAAGAAAATAGGAAGTATCGTAGAAATCATAATTGATATTAGGAACTTATTGTTGTCACCCTAAACATGATACTAAGAAAAGCATCCTAACATGATACTAGGAAAAGCATCCTAACATGATTCTAGGAATCAAAATAACAAACTAAACATGATTTCTATATCATAATATCAATTAAACAATTAAAACACTTACTTGGATGTCTCGTACCTCTTACTAATAACAAAATACACACGTTAGTAACTTCAAGGAAAATATAAAATCAAATAATTAAATTAAATAATTGAAATAGAGATTTGGGACCAAACCCTCAGAAATATCAAACCTTTCACTTATAGGGCGAAGACAACTTCGAATTGGGCTAGGTGTGTCTAGATCTTGTGAATGCGGAATTTTGTTTGAGAAAAGGCTAGTTTAGAAAAGTGAGAGAGAATATATCAAGAATTTCTTGACGAGAATTGGTGATAGTTGATGAGAAGAATTGATGATTAAAATGGAGGTTATAGGAGGCTATTTATAGAGAAAATCAGCCGGATATGATAAAGAACGAATCATTCGAAAAGAATAAAACACGACGTTGTCGCCAAACACGCGCCTGTCGCCAGACGCCAGACGTGTCGCCAGACGCCAGTTCTGTCGCCAGGCGACAGACGTGTCGTACGGCGCTGCAATCAGTTTTTCCATGCGTTTTCATATTTTGATAAAATTTAAGCGTACGAGAGGGTAAAACTGTAATTTCCTTAAAAACACCTCTTTTATTCTAATTAAAACTCTTAAAAGTCAATTAATCAATGCTAATCAAATTAGGATTCAAAAGAACTTTCTAGAAGATTCTAGAAGACTATAATCAATCATAATCGCATTAGGAATGACAAATCAATAATATGCCCTCCTCTATATCATTGGGCCGCATATAAAGATCAAATCGGGCCTAGTTTAGTAATTTGGCCATAACTTCCTCATTATTCATCGGAATTGGGCTTATAATATATCATTGGAAAGGTCTTTTTGAACTGATCCAACTACACTATTATTGGACCCTTGCTATGGACCAAACTAAATTGGATTGGCTGTTTTCTTAAAATAGGTTTTCAAAAACAGAAAAAAAGATAAGAAATAAAAACTAACCCAAACACTAGACTTTCCACACTTTCACTTCATTCGATTATGATTCGACGTGAAAGGTACTCATCACTGGGTTTGGTTTTGGAGAGACACAAATGGGTGTCTACAAACATATATCGCAAACTGAAATACTTTTATTGATTTTTTTTTTGAAATATCCAATATTAATAATTTAATATATAGTAGCTTATATTGACAATTTAAACTCCCTCTATTTCTTTTTATTTTTCACGCTCTAAATTTTACGGCCTCAAATATACGTTACTAGATGAAGGTCGTGCAATGCATGGTTTGTTTGTATTTTTTTTAAATAAAATACTACGTATTTTACTAAGAGCAACTCCAACGGTTGCTTTTAGGGACTAGCTTGCAATTTTAATAATTTTCAAGCTAATAGCCAAACCATTGGAGGATAGTTTAATAATTAGCTTGGCCAAGCTAATGCCAAGCAAATTAGCTTAGCTAAGCTAATTAGTTTAAAAATTAATTGTCTCTAATAAAATACTAATTATTTAAAAAATAAAGCTGAAAAATCTAAATGCTACTTAGCTTAACCATTGTGGCATAAATTAGCTAGAAGGAAGAATAGCTTTGCAATCCTATGTAGCATGGCAAGCTAATTTGGCAATTAGCTTCACTAGTGGAAAAAATCTCATTCGTAACAGGCTATTTGTAACGGGCAAAGCTTTGCCCGTTACAATTAAGATATTCGTAACGGGCAAAATAGTATCCGTTACGAATACATTTATTCGTAACGGACAATATTTTGCCCGTTACGAATACTATATTACACGTAACAGGCGTATTGTGCCCGATACAAATGCCCAAACTTGGCCCAACTGATGAGAGGAGCCCAGTACTTGGCTTTTTAGGGTTTCACAGCCGTCATTCACCTCTCTCTCTCTCTCTCTCATCAGTCCCTCACTGCCTCTCTCTCTCCTCTCCTCTCCTCCCCGTCATTCACCTCTCTCCTCTCCTCCATCAATCTTCCCCTTAACAACAAGTGAAGATCTCTAAACCTAACCACTGATGAACAATTCTTAGATAATTTAGGATATCTTTGCCGAAAACTTCAACCATTTTAGATCGTGAGGTAAGATATCCTTCAATCATTTTTTCCTTTCTTGAATTGATTTTTGGGCATCTAATTGTTTAAATTCTTGAATTTGTTCTTGTGAATTCTGATTTGCTTTATTTTTTTCTACATGCATTTTGTATTTGATGCATTTTTGGCATTTATATGGTTCGGTTATCTTTTATACGACCAAACGAATAATAAATCTAAAAAAAATATGTTCTTCAGTTGAAACGAGTAATACATGCAAATAGTAGTGAATTTAGTTCATCTTTGTCGATTAATACCCAAATTTTTTTGTAATTTTTTTTGTTTATAGAGAGAATTAAGAAACCTGAGATGGCAAGTTGATTAATTTTAGGGTTCTTCGAGTTCTTTCCCGAAATCGATCAATTTATCCCTAATTCGTTCATTTTTAGTGGTAATTTATGGGTTGTTGGTATATAATCTCTGTTAATCTGTTTATTGAAGTGAGAATTTGGGTATTGGTTGTTGATTCTCTATGCAAGGTTGGGGGGGGGGGGAGGGGGGTGTGTTGGAGGGGGTTATCGAAAATATGAAACGAAGCATACCCAATGGCGAATCCTCCCTCCCCTGTGATCTCTTTCTTTTGATTGTAACTTGAAAATAAATCTGGGATATCCTTCATATTTTTGGTGGTATAAAACTCTAAAATTCATTCAAAAACAACATTTAAATTTCCAGATATACCGTATAGGTGGAACAAAATCTCTTTGTAGTTCTAAATGATTGGAGATTGCATATGTGCTAGTAAGTAAAGTCGCTGCTTGAAAAGGGACACACTGTACGTGCCACTGTCAGAAACCCAGGTTCATAACTCACATATATCTCTGTGCATAATATGCTAAATTTATTCTAGAAGCAGTATGTTATCTTACAGAATTTTGCTTACCAAATTTTCAATTAAGTTGGCTTATTTTAAATGAAACAGAAAATGAAGAGAAGGTAGGATTTTTATGGGAAATGAAGGGAGCAAAAGAAAACATGATCTGCAGTCTTGTAAATTGCAATGAGCTGTATATGCAACAACATTTTATATTGTAAATTGACTAGTGAAGCTATATAATAAACATTCACTTTAATTAGAAGTATTGTGAAAACATGTAAGAAAAACTTCAAGATATATGCACCCATAATTTATGTCAATACTCCATTTGTTTCAAATGTATGGTATTTTAATCACAGTATTCTTTTGTTTAAGACTGATGCTGAAGCTTCTGTAATTGTTCAGGAAGGACTAGTAACTGCAGAAGAGTGGTGAGCAGATACAGCACAGCTGCTGCCACTGAGGATCCTATTACGCCGCCTGTGAGTGTAAAATATACTCAGCTTCTGATCGATGGAAAATTTGTGGATTCTGCATCAGGTGTGTTTTTATTAAGCTCCTAATGATGACTAATCAGACGAGAAAATTACTAACGATTGCTGATGCCATGATGATTAATAGCTCTCCATCTGTTTCAGGTAAAAAATTCAAAACATACGATCCAAGGACAGGAAATGTGATTGCAGAAGTTGCTGAGGGTGATGCTGAGGATATTAATCGTGCAGTTGCTGCTGCTCGCAAAGCATTTGATGAGGGGCCTTGGCCTAAGATGACTGCTTATGTAATCAGCTAGCTTCTTTCATTAAAACTGATTATACAGGCCACAGTAAAACAGCAGTAAATAAGTATATTTTTATTTTTCAGGAAAGGTCAAAAATTCTGTTCAAATTTGCTGATCTACTTGAGCAGCATACTGATGAGATAGCTGCTCTTGAGACTTGGGATAATGGCAAGCCATATGAGCAAGCTGCTAAAGCCGAATTACCAATGTGTGTTCGTCTAATGAGATATTATGCTGGTAGGTATTGAAATAAGCTAAGCTATTTGGGTTTAAGAATATGAAATTTGAGTTTTGTTTTGACAATTGTTCGATGTTGGAATTTCTTAGGATGGGCTGATAAGATACATGGTCTAACTGTTCCTGCTGTTGGACCATATCAAATGCAAACATGATCGATTGGAGAAAGATGGTGGGTGGAAGTGGGATTGGAGACATGAAGGAGACACAAGACATGATCGATTTTCTTTTGCTCTATTTTTTTAGTTTTGTTTGTTTTTTTTTGTTTTTTTATTTATTTTTTTTTGACAAAAGAAACAGCTGAAAAGTCCATGGCAAACAGCAAATATGAGTATGTTAAGTCCTTTGAAGTACAAAATTATGTTGCCATGGTCTAACTGTTCCTGCTGTTGGACCATATCAAATGCAAACATGATCGATTGGAGAAAGATGGTGGGTGGAAGTGGGATTGGAGACATGAAGGAGACACAAGACATGATCGATTTTCTTTTGCTCTATTTTTTTAGTTTGTTTGTTTTTTTTTGTTTTTTTATTTATTTTTTTTTGACAAAAGAAACAGCTGAAAAGTCCATGGCAAACAGCAAATATGAGTATGTTAAGTCCTTTGAAGTACAAAATTATGTTGCCCACTCTGATGGTTGTTGTCATTGATGGCTGGAATATTCGAAGGTTCTCTGAAGCTCATAAATTTGAGAAGCCTCGTGATAAAAAAGCCTTGGAGTTGATGAGTTCATATGCAAATGCTGTCATGGAGGAATACACTGACATAATATTTTCATACGGATATAGCGATGAATTTAGTTTTGTATTAAAAAAGGAGTCCAAATTAGTTTTGTATTAAAAAAGGAGTCTAAATTTTACCAGAGACGTGAAAGGTTTGTGGTTGAATCTACATTCAGATGTTAGTACCTGGGATTCACAAATTTCCTTGTTGACATACTGATGTTTTAATTGCTGTTTCATATTGCTTTATTTTCCCCTTTGTTATTTGTAACGGGCAGTTGAAATTCCCGTTACAAATAAGTCGTTATTCGAAACGGGCACTTGAAATGTCCGTTACGAATAACGGGCTATTTGTAACGGGCACTTGAAATGTCCGTTACTAATAACGGGATATTCGTAACGGGCACTTGAAATGTCTGTTACGAATAACCCATTATTCGTAACGGACATTTCAAGTGCCTGTTACGAATAACCCATTATTCGTAACGGACACTGCCCGTTACGAATAACACTAGCTATCCGTAACGGTGGCATACGTAACGCTTGTTTCCCGTTACGGATAGCCCTTTTTTGATAGCTATTTTTCCACTAGTGCTTGTTGTTGGAGTTGCTCTAATATATATTTATTTAATAAATTTTTTGATATTCGCTGGCTACTTGAATTTTTTATCATAAAATGAATTATTAACTTTGTTTCATGTATTTAGATAAAATTCGTTACATAAAAAGAAAATATTTTTTTTTCCAAGTTTATATGTGGCTGGTCACACTGTGTGGTCATAAATTACTTGGTCAGGAGTTACTTGGGATGTGAAGGGTTACTCAATTGATTAGGGGTTACTCGGACGGTCAAGGGTTACTCGGTCAGATTTCGTGTGTGTCTCAACAGGCCACATGATATAGCCAGGCACACAAAAAATGAGCTGGCTTTATTTTTATAATTAATATTAAATTTTCGATCTAAATAAAATTGCAATTTTTATTGGCTAAAATATAACATTTTCCTATGTGACGCTCTAAAATTAATCTTACGTGGCATAATCCTATTTTAGTATTTTTTTTTTAAATTATTAGTCATATGTGTCGATTTTTTTTATATATATAATGCTACATAGCGTTTTTAAAAAAACTAATCTTACATGGCAAAAATACTATTATAGCGTTTTAAAAATATTAATCATAAGTGGCGCTCTAATAATTTTTTAAAAATTAAAATCCTATGTGGCGCTTTAAAAACACAGGAAAAAAACTCCCCTTTATATATATACTAGTTTTGTGCCCGGGCTAGGGGTAAAAGTAATTTTGATTAAAATCAAACGAACCGAAAATCAAACCGAATTAGTAATTTGGCTTGGATTTTTTTTTTAATTCGGATTGGATCGGATTGGAAAAATTAAAAAATATGGATTACGGATGGGATTCGGTTTGGGGTTTAAAAAAATCGAAAACCGAATTACAAACCGAATTTCGGCCCAATACTTTAAGCCCATTTTCTTTTTCAAAGTATCTAACCACTTTCCCCTTTCATATATAAAAAGAATCTAATTCTCACTTCTCCTTTCTCAATATCTTACTCTCTCACAGAGAATGTAGTTAACAAGAAATGATTGTAGGAATTTTCAGGGTAAAGTTCGAGTTTTGGATTTGAATGTTGCAAAAGAAGGGAACAAATTTCGGTTTGGATTGGATTCTAATTTGAAAAACTGTATTAATTTGGTTTGGATTGAATCTTAATTTGGTTTGGATTTGGATTGAGATTTCTGAAACCAAATTCGGATTGGATTCGGTTTTGGCTATAATCCAAACTGCAAACCGAATTTTCACCCCTAGCCCTGGCGATGCCCGGATTGTCCTAAATTTTTTAGCTTGAATGGTAAATACGATCATATAACCCCTTCTGATATTGTAAAATATTTAGACATACGATATTATATCGCTTATATATATATATATATATATATATATATATATATATATATATATATATATATATATATATATATATATATATATATATAATAGTGTATTTATTTAGTTTTATTTGTAAATAGATATAATATTATTCCAAATCTTCCATATAGTTTATATAACGTAATCGCATTTTTACAACTACTTATAAATTGAAATTAAGAAAAATATTATAAAGATATGCATAATTTTTAATACTCCCTCCGCCCACTATTATATACAACAAATGTACTTTTTGCGGACTCATAGACACAACTTTTAGTGGAGTGTAATTATATTTAAATGGGTTCAATTAAGTGGAAAAAGGAGGGAAAGTAGTAAGAGGAGAGAGAAGGGATAATTAATTTAAAGTAAATACTCTCTCCGTTACGTATTACTCGCAACAAACATGAGGATTGCAGACTCCTAGACAAAAGATGGTAAGTGTAATTAATGAAAAATAAGGGCATGTGTTTATTATTAATCCAGCCAAAAAAAAAATCAAATACAACAACCTAGCAGCTCCACCACCACCAAGCAACAACACAATGGAACCCAGAAAATTTGAACCAACCAACCAACCCACGGAAGTCGAACCACCAAAGTTGGGGACACCACGAAAATCAAACCAAACAACCCACGAACCAACCAACCAACGAAAATAGAACCACCAAAGTCGGTGACACCACGAAAATCGAACCAACCCCCCAAAAAGCGAACCACCAAAGTCGGCGACACCACGAAAATCGAACCAACCAGCCCAAAAAATCGAACCACCAAAGTCGAACCCAGGCCACGAAATGTGAACCCATAAAATTAAATAGACAGATTTGGAAAATCAAAGCTTTAATTGGTCAAATTAAACCATCAAAACTCTAGATTTAGAGCTTTAATGGTTTAAATTTGTCCATAAACCTTTAAATTTGAGCTTTAGCAATAATGAAGAAACAACGACAAAAGGAAGAGAGAGAAAATGAAGGCGACACCAAGGAATAAGACAACGGTGGTGACTTCCGATAATGGTAGAGGTCGTCATAGAAGGTTGCAGTGGTAGTCGTTGCCAATGAAGATAGAGTGGAGATCGGTAGTGGTGGTGGTGGTTGCCAATGAAGGTGATGATGAATTTAGATGGAAGGTGATGTTGAATTTAGATGGAAGATGATGATTTAGGTAGAAATGGTTAAGTTAATCAATGTTATGTTTAAGTTAATAAGATAAAATCAGACGTTTAATTAGGGTGTTTAAAAAAAAGTGATAGTAATTTTGTAAAATCACACAATTTTTTTTTTACTATTAACAGGAAAAAAGTCGGTTTGTTGCGAGTAATACGTAACAACTATTTTTAGTAATTGTTGCAAGTAATATGTACCGGAGGGAGTAAAAAACTACAATTAAACAGGCCACCCCACAAACCACCAACAACCCATGCCCAACTACACAACCACCACTGAAACCCACCATCCTATGAACCTAAACCACCAAAACCCACCACTACACGAACCCATACCACCGAAACCCACCAATCGACGAACCTAGACCACCCAAACCCACCAGTCGACGAACCCAAATCACTGAACCCGACCACGAATCCCACAAACCCAGACCACGAAATCCACGAACCCAGACCATGAAACCCACAAACCTATACCACAAACGAAACCCACCAACTTAGATCTAGAATCGGAACACTTAAGGTTGGTCTTCTTCTTCTTCAATTCATGAGAATGGGTTAAAGGATGAGAGAGAAAGATAATATAAATATGAAGATGAAGATGATGAGTGGAATATTTTGAGATTAATTACATTAGATTAGTTTTTAATTAATTTTTTTTAAGTATGTAATTGAGGTTATAAATTTTAAAGTAAGGGTATTGTAGTCAATTTGTTAGAAAAAAGTTACTAAATATGGAAAGAAAAACATTTGTTACAGATGATAGAGAGCACCCATTATTTATGGTAAATGTTGTAGATAATAGTGGACGGAGGGAGTATAAAATTTGTACGAAATATATCATATTGGTATGTATAACCTAAAATTTACTACAAAATATTTTAATACAAAATATTGACCTTTGCCTTGACCACCTTTTTCATATACTTTTTTATAAAGAGAAAAAAAATTAAACATTTTGTTAAAATTCTTTATAAAATTTGGTAAAACCGTGCATAGCACGGGACCATAAGCTAGTAACATACTAAAAGCAAATCTGACATGACATTTATCATGTTCTGATTAAAAAATTTCCAGCCACTTTCATTTTTTTTTTTTTTTTTTTTCCAAATCTTCATGCATATTAATTTATATATCCTATATTTCTAACTTTTAATTTGACAACTATATTCTAAGTATATTCTATATGCATTTAATAAAATTTTTTAACATTTCTTATATTTTATAATAGGTATTTTTAGCCTCCAAAAAGGTATTTTTCTATGATAAACAAACATATACTACTTATATAAGGTAATATTACTATAATAATGCACTACTCTTGTACTTTGTATCATTTGACATCGTATTTTTTCTTTTGACATTTTTTTTTGCTCCATCCATGATTAACACTTTATTTATTTATATATATATATATATATATATATATATATATATATATATATATATATTGGTTTATTTATAATGATAACACTACACTTCAATAAGTATAAATATAATTTTATTTTATTTTTGTAAAAAAAAACTTGATTATTAATTGTCACAAATAATAAGTCACTTAAATGTGTATAAAAATAAGTGTGAAATGTTATCTTTTTCTTATCGTTCCCTCTAGTTTTTCTCCTTGAGAGGTTGTTTTTGTTCCCTCTAAGTTTATCCTTGGGAGGGTTTTTTAGCCTCCATTGATAGATTTTTTTTTCTACGTTTTTTGTAGGTTTTCCTTCACTCTTCTCTCTCTCTCTCTCTCTCTCTCTCTCTCATTTATTTTCTTCTGATCTCAATTGTAAATTTTTGTAGGGGCTTTTATTGGTGTTTTTATCGGTGGTAAGCCCCAAAAAACTTTTTATTTTCTTTCAATAAATGGGTCTCGTCTTTATGATGGTGCTTATTTTATTAGGATTAATTTCTTTGTTTTTTCGTCTACTAAAGATTGAAGTATTAGGGTTTCACAATCTAAGAAAGTATCTAGAAGGTCATGTGAGTTTTTTCACCGAAACAACTACTCATCCGTCGAACCTCAAGCCGAATTAGTGCTAACTTAGAGATTGTATTGCTTTATATTGTATTGCATCAGATGAAGTTTTTTCACTGAAACAACTACTCATCCATCGAACCTCAAGCCGAATTAGTG